CTGTGAGAACAGTATTAACTCCAAAAAATAGTGTGAGCATTTTTGTCAGACCATATGGATCACTCCTTGAATGTGCTGTTTTGAGAGGATTATCAGAACATTCAGACCACCCCTTGTACATGCTATATCATGCAATACTAGATATACAGGGTGGTCCAAAAAAATTGGAACATTTGTTAATTGAACAAAAAACCTTTATTTTTCCTCTAAAATGCACCAAAATTTCACTGAGCATAGTTCAGTCACTTATCTCTCTGATGTAAAGTTTATAGGTGCAAACCACAAAGTTAATGCATTAAACTAGTCAATGTTTGATATGACCCCCTTTTCTTAAACATACACTTGTCAATTTCGCAGCTACTTTTTCAAGCATTCTTTATTTCAAAGCTTTAATGAACATGTTGATTGCTATACACATTTTATAAAATCATATTTAGTTGACATGAGGTATTAACATCTATGGTTTACTGGAAAACTATTGTGTTATTGTCAACTTAAGAATACCCCAAATCATTATTTTTATTTAAGAGTAGGAAAGAAAGAACATGTCAGAGGTGAGTGATTGCATAACCCATACAGCTACTAAAATGACAAAATCATTGTTTCCACTTTTCAGTAGAGGGGAAACTGACTAGTTATTTACAAGGCTTTATTTATCATTGTTTCCACTTTTCAGTAGAGGGGAAACTGACTAGTTATTTACAAGGCTTTATTAAAGACCACCTCTAAGCAGACATAATATAATATATCTTCTGGGAAACTCCTTTATGATATTGATATACATATATTGATATATTCAATAAATATTATTCATATTAGAACAAGAAAGGGGAGGGGGTTCATTTACCAATCAAAACAGACTGCCCTGGTCTCTTTCTGGAGAATATTCAATCAGTAATATATCCAACAATAGCCATCAAAATATGCTTGATACCCATCAATTTGGATGAAAAAATGTTGAACATGTTCATATATTTAATCTTCCAAGGCAAACATATAAGTACAGTAGTTTGTTCAAGCTGAAATTTTAATCAAGATGGCTTGGACAAAATCAAACGAACAGCAAAGTGAATGAATCTTTTCAAAACTGAGTCCCAGGCTTCAACTTGTAATTTAGGAGAAAAGGGGTCATATCAAACATTCTCTAGTTTAATGCATTAACTTTGTTGTTTGCACCTATAAACTTTACATCAGATAAATAAATAATTGAACAATAATCAGTAAAACTTTGGTGCATTTTAGAGAAAAAATAACGATTTTGAGTTCAATTATCAAATGTTCCAATTTTTTTGGACCACCCTGTATATATAGTACTAGCTTTGTGCTGATGTATTTCTGCAAAATTGGTTGTTGTAGCTACATAGTTTCACATGCCTGACATTCTGACATACCAGACCCCTCTGCCTCTTTGGAAAATCTTTGAAATTGACATAAAGGGCATTGGTATTGCAATGTGACATGCATGACAGTTAGGGGACATTGTCAACATGGGTGTACTAGTTTACATCTAAAGTTAAAGGCACTTAAAATACGAAAACTTACAGCCTAAATGGCCTATATAATAGTTTGAAATGGGGTTAAAGTGGAACCTTAATCCTTTGAGGGTATAAATTGATCTAATGGAGAATCTCGGAGAAAACATAAAAAACTTGTTCTACTTAAACAATTTCACTTTATTTGATTGATATGTACATAACAGTATTGTTTTTACAAGGCATTAACATGACAAAATGTCACCACCTAGTTGCTCACAAGATTATGAGTTCAATCCTAAGTCAGATTTGAATTTCTGAGAACTTGTAGATGATTTTGAAAAAAAAAATTTGGTCAATTTGAAGCAAGTTGAAAAAAGACCTTTTTGACATAAGTATATAATAGGATTTATTTGTACTGATGCCCTTTTAGGGCCAAATATACATCTAACATACAATTTTCATTAAATTAATAGCAATAAGGAAAAGAAAATAGGATTACATTCTTCAAATGACATCTGAAATATTACTTTGATATAAGAATCCTGTCTCTACCAATCATTAGATAATTAATCATGTCAGCAGATTCTATCAATATGTTCCCCTAACTCGTCAAAAGAATAATAGTCTTTTGATGGTCATTCATGTTTTTAAAGTTTTTATACAGGTTTTCAATGAAGTTTTTCAATAGAAAATTTAAAATTGAGAAGGTCATTAACATTGAGAAGGTCACTGAAGGTCAACTCTCAAATCTAAAGTCAGATTTGAAATTCTGAGAACTTGTAGATTTTGTCAATTTGAAGCAAGTTGAAAAAAGGCCTTTTTTACCTTGAGGTCATTGAAGGTCAAATCTTTTTTTTTTTACCTTAAGCAGGTCACTGAAGGTCAAATCTCAAATCTACAGTATCTGCAATTTACTGTACCTTTAATTTGAGTATAATGAAGCTAAAACTCAAAATTTTAGGAAGTTCCAGTCTTAATAGGCCACCATTTTACATTCAAAATGTCACAATGCAAAATCTGAGTGAATGTTCACCTGTAATGCCTTTTATTTAAGGTAAAACAAATAACATAAACATTTTTTTCATGTCCACATACTTTACAAGCAGTCTGTACTTGACAAATTTATACACTAGGAAATAATGTACACTACGGAATTCTTTTCACTATAGAATGGTTTTCACTACAGACAGGCATACAAGCCATACATGTATGCTATACTAGATATAGCAACTGTTTGTTTGTACATCATTCATATTAATAAATCATATAAAGCAATTTTGAAACTGTAATTTACTTATATATGCTGCTACCACGAGTCAATGTATTACAATGTCATGTAACACACTATTACAATGTGGTATATTACACAATTGTGTATTACAATAATGTAATACAATAAGCACCAAACAAATATAAAATATATCTAAAAATAAGCTAATAATAATGAAAGCATAAGGGTCGTCTACTTTATAGTACACTAGGCAAAAAGCACCTTTTTGAAGTAAAACATAAAATGTTTGTAAAATGTGACAAATATTGCAAATATGAATAAAACTATGAAAAACAATATTGGCAATATGTATGAGACATCCAGTAAATGCAACTGAAAATCATATCTTCCTACAGTGAGATAAAAATACTCGTACAAAATGGTGCAAATATAATACTAATATGATATAATGTGACATTCTCCTTAAATTAAAAGAATGTTAAATTGCTAAGTATGGAGCATATAATGATGTTGTTGCTTCAGTTGAATCCTTCTTTTTAAAGGTACAATTACACAGTAATCCTTTCCAAAAGTACATACACTGCAATAGACTAATATGCGATAAACGAAAACAACGGTCATTAACATAAATATCTCCCACAATGCATTGCATCAAGGAGAAATTTTCATTGGTCTGTTGATTAATACCATGCTTCTGTGTATTGTTGGGACAAAAAGGTTTATGCTTAGCCTAATAACCCTCACAATTGATACAAGTCAAATATCACGGTGACTATCCAGGCCCCGTATATCACAAGCAAATTCCCACTGACATCACGAGCTATGAGCTCATGTTAGGAGCGGGGCCTTGAGAGATATGACAAAATATAGTTATAGAAGAACATCGTTGCCCCCTGCAATTGAAATAGCCACTTAAGTTTCATCGAAAATTTTATATTTCAATTTTATCATACCTCTCAAGGCCCTGCATCTAACATGAGCTTATTGCTCGCAATGTCAGCAGGGATAGTCCCCGTGAATATATATAAACATAAAATCCAACTATTTACTGCAAATTCTGCAAATTGTTTACAATGTCTATGAGTGCTTCTATTAATAGTACATTTGGATTCCTGCACGTATTTACACACAAGTCATAGGACATACCACTTGCATAACCTCATTCTGATATGATATACTCTTACTTGCATAACTCTAATACTAACGTGATATGTGAGCTATGCATAATTCAACCCCACTGTGAGCTTGAGAGGAAATACACATACATAGCGAATCTTTCAAATAGGAGCTTACGTTAAAACTGTTTTTTGTCCAGATTATGAATCAGTAAGTTCTAATCGGTCAGTTTTCCCGTTGTGGCCTTAACAACACATCTGAATGTAAAGATATTAATGAAAACTAAGTTACCTGTATAATAAAATCAAGAGGGGTACAAAATACTCTGGAACTTTGAAGTTAAATGTTAGTTCTCCCAAATCTGTGTAACCTAACCTCACTATTATATGTGTTCCAAAGTGTTCTTACAATACAAGAAACAAGCGTATCCTATAAATCCATATACTCCAAATAACCAGTGTTCACTTTTGATTTTACACAAAATATCACAAAAATAAATAATTTACATGCTATACATTGTAAGATAAAATATTGGAAAAAAAGTTATCATTCAAACGATTGCGACAGGAAATTCAATGACATTGATAAGAAATTATGCAGAATGACGCTTTATTTTGCAATTGCCCCAGGCAAGCTTCGTTATCAGTACTCCTCTGAAAGTCGCTATTTCTGCACTTTCCAACAACTACCCAGCCAAACACCCCTTAAAGATTCATAGCCTCCTAATATGGCAATATAGTATCCTGCACGTTAAACAATATGATTCAGTTACCATCCAAAACATGGATTATATATAATACGTAAACATTCTAATACAAAGTCGTGTGAACACAACAAACTGTATCCTTAAAATCTTCATTAATTCTTCCTAACAATGTTAAAATATTTTATAACAATAATACATGACAATAATAAATAGGTACATGTATATTAAACATGCCAGTGTTTCATAACACAAAATAAACTTGATTATCTTGTAATATTAACTTGGTACATGTGACCCACCCTTTGTGCATCGGCATACTTGTGAAGTAGTCTACTTACATTGCGTAGTAGTCTACTAACATTGTAGAGTAGTCTACTAACATTGTGTAGTAGTCTACTAACACTATGTAGTAGTCTACAAACATTGTGTAGTAGTCTACTAACATTGTGTAGTAGTCTACTAACATTGTGTAGTAGTCTACTAACATTGTAGAGTAAGCTACTCTTGCACTCCATGGGACTTTGTCCGATGAGGCACATTGATTCAGTTCCCATGGAACTCAATTGCACTCTATGAGGGTCAATTAAGTTTTCATGGGGCTTTTAAACCTACTTCATTTGAACACTGTTGAAACAGAATTCCACATAGCTATAATATGATTTCAAAAACCAACTATTGAACTGTATATATACATTAATATCACTGGGTATCCTGGTAGCCTCAACTAAGAGTCCTTTTTGAAACATACAATCTAATGTATCAATTATGTAACATCTGCTTCTATCAAACACTTTCTGGGCAAGGGTCAGACTTGGGTCTTGGAAGATGGTTAATCATCAGGAAGCCACTTGCTGAAAATAAAGTCAATCAGGAAGCCACCTTTGCTCAATATATTCCTAGTCATCTGATTGGTTAATCAATGAGAAAGAACTCTTCATCTAGTTGAGTACCTCTTGTCTTTTCATTTGGTTTCACGTCACTTGTATGACTGTCTAAAGGAAATGTTTCAGAACGATTCCTGAAAAAATAAGTGAACAAATATGAGTTTTACATTGTACAAAAATATTATGTACATGTAAATGGATATTGCACTTATGAAATGATTTCATTTTTTGTAGCATTCAAACTACATGAGGGTATGGAAAGCTAATTGATTCTGACATACGTTGTACTAACTATATCCTAACTATAAAGTTGTTTTTGTTCCCACTCAAATAAGCATTGCATTTACTAGAACTATAGTATTGTAAATACTGTATTTGCAAGGTCAATGTGTTATATTGTATTCAACTGACAATGATTGGCATCATGAGTGAAACATTCAGAAAAACCTACAACTATACATATTCTAAAATAAGAGTGCATTTTAACATTTTTTCCATTTGCTAAATGGTGCTTGCTAATTCGTCTCTCTTTAGTTCGACCGCTGATTCAGTATAAATCTCAATAAATGCCACCAAAGTCTATCAGAATAAAAGCTATAGAATAGTCCCAATAAATTGATTCTGTTATTGGGTGATGTTCAAGTCAGAATTTTACTATCATTGCAGCTTATAAAAATAGTATTGCACTTATGGAAGAAAGCATTGCACTTTCAACAGGGAGCGTTGCAGTTACTATATATTTATATGAGGGGACATTATATGCAATGACTTAACAAGACTATTTTCATTTTGAATGAAATAAAAAGATTCTTAACATACTTCATCCCATGGTGGAGGTCAGGCCAGTATATCTGTTTGTCTCCAAAACTGAAATTCTCGTCACCAATCAACTGCTTGGCCCAGGACTCTGTATTATAAGGTGGTTGTGAGCCTCCTAGCTCCGCTGGCAGGATTTCTATGGGGACCTGATGATGTAATGTTGTCATATTGTTCCCATGCATTATCACCTAAAGTAAATAAATCGTGCAATCAAATTGCTGTAAATATTCAATGCGGTATTAAGGTTGGCACCAGCAAATGAAGAGGACATTTTTTCCTAAGAGACACATTCTTACGAAGGTGAATTTTAAAATAAATGACCCATCATCTTAAAATCTAGTCATAACTGACATTCATTCCATAGGTCCAAAGATCTTAACCTTTCCAGCAGTGTGCCTGTTACTAAATTCTTTTAAAGACATTAATAGAGAGATTAACTGTACCAAATCACAATATGTCATGAGACTTCATTTTCTGCCAAGGAGTAGCTCATTTCTCATTTCCCATTCAAACTTCCATAAAGATACCAATAAACACCCATAATAGTCAGAGGGGAGTAGTGGTTGCTAAAAGATGGAGGTTCAGGGTACAATTAGGCCTATTAGATATCATAGGTGACATCTTCAGAGTGTCAATTACAAATACAAGTACTCCCGATCCTTACAAGAGTGAATGAACTTATCCTTTATATTACTGATGAACCTCAAAATCTAAAAGCAAATAACAACCTTTCATTGATGGTAATTGATATATCCAAACAATAGCATGGTTCTGCGGGGATCTATATATGGTTTCACAGCCAATGCAAAATGATCGCCACATCCAGAGGGACGCATACATATTCATGATCTCAGGGTTTCGCACATGCATCACATTGAAAGCTGAATTATATCCATTTACTTACTTTCTCTGAGTTTTTGTCTTTCAAGAAGGGTTTGATGACCTTGAAGGCAGCTTCCACGTACCATGGCTGGCTGACGAAATGAACTCCACCAAATCTGGCAGGGAAGCAGTCCTGAAAACAGAGTTCAAGTTGGTATTATGTAAGGGTTCGGGTCAATAAATTACAAGCCATCAAGGTATATTGTTTTTTGACTAGACCCCTTCTAACCCATCAAAAGTAACTTTTGTTGTTTGATTTGTGCAGATGTGACTGATTAGTGATTACCCTGGAGTCATAAAGGCATACAGAATATAAACTTAAATAAAAGAAGTCAATGGAATTCCAAAAATAAAATAGACCTTTCCCATTTATCCCATACTTAGTAGTGTTATAGGTAAATGAAATGTGGGAATATAATTGATATTTGAAGTGAGCGGGTGATATATAGAGATTATCCTATATGAGGTTCAGGATATTGGGATTATCCTGAGGCCAATATAATATATCTGCCCGAGGGCCGTAGGTCCCGAGGGAAAATATATTATATTGGCCAAGGGATAATCCAAATATCCTGAACCGAATATAGGATGATCTGTTTATCCCATACCAATCACATTGTTCAATTGGCCAAAGTTCAGAAACTTAGTAACAAACCGTGGAATTATTTTTAAAGATTCATGTCCAGTTTTGTATTTTTGTCTGGAGCCAGATTTTCCTGTTCAAATCTGATTATTAACGGGGCATACTGCTCCTTCCCTTCTTTAAAGCATATAACAGATCGCGATTGTCTGCGTTTTTCTCCATTGTCATTTACAGTATGCGAACGTTACGAAAAAGGACCAATACGGGAACAGCGATTATGACGTAGTGGGCAGATATACTATATCTGCCCGCTCGGAGCGGGACGTAAAGCTATATCTGCCCGCTGATGAAAATATAAGTTTTTACAAACCGGCTTTATGTACCCGTAACACGTCCAAGTATGGGATAAATAAATATATCTCCCTGTGAGGTGAGCGGGAGATATATATATCATCCGCTCATCAGCAATTCCCGGGAATTTTGTACGATGCTTTTTTCGCTCATCAGTACAGTACATGTATAACCATGGCTCTATTGAATTGATATGAATTTCATATACTGCTTAAATGTTAAACTGTTGAATTTTCAAAAAACAATATATGTTAAGAACTTTAAATTCAAATAAAATATTCATGTTTCAATTGTAATTATCATTATTGTAATTATTACATGAGTGTTCCATAATTTTTAATTCATACATAATCCTCATAATCTTTTAAGTCTAGGATAAATAAGTTATTTAATGCTCGATTTTTGATACAGGGCATATCCCTTGGTAAATACAATATATCACCCCTCTGTCGATCCCTAAGGTTCCTCAGGTAGATATATTGTAGATATATTCCCTCAGATATACCTCCCATTAAATAACCTCTATGTATTGACCATTATTTCACTTTGGATGTCCAGTCTTCAATAAATAACACCTTACACCCTTACTTATTAACATCAAGACTATCAGGTCCAGTTTTATTACTTGCAAAAGAATTACTACGAACATTGAAGCTTCATCAGGTGAATATTAATGAATTTTTAGTAGTGATTGTAAGCAAGAATACATACTAAATTGGATAGAAATTGCAAATACTTGCAAACTCGGGTGAATTCATACATATTAAGGGGCCAAGTATGCAAAACTTACTCTTATCCTTCAGAGAATATTCATGAAAATAATGTAATGTTTTGGCTATGCAAATACAGCTATCAAAGATCTAGATTGACCAGTCGGGGATATTCACCACAGCGCAGTAATGTATATATACTTATGTAAAAGCTCATAATGTCAGTAAATGTTGAACAGACAATAATACACTTTGTAGTTAATACCATAATTCAATTCTATCTTTCCCGATAATTATCAGATGGAATTCCAACATTAATTTCACGAGACTATTAGATTACATAATCCAAGAAAAATGAGGTCATGGCCCAAGATAATTAAATCATTCTGTGCCGAGAGCCATAAGCAATAACTATGAATCATAAAGAAGCAAAAATATTATGAGAAGCAAATGGAGCTAAGAGGGAGGGGAGTAAAATAAAACAAGAACACAAATGTGTACAAAATGTCCCCACCAAGTGGTGATCCCGTGAAATGGTTATCCTGAAAATGAGTAGACAAGATTTTACCAACACAATTTGAGGACGGAAAATCCAAAGTGGCCACCTTAAAATTTACCCAGAATGCCCAAAATTTAGTCAGTTCTAGATTTTCATACTAAGAACCACCCCTGAAAAATTTGAAATTGATCCGTCACACAGTTAACCAGAAAACATGTAAAGAAGACTTTACAGACAAGATTTCAGGATGGAAAATCCAAAATGGCTGCCTTGACATTTACCGAGAATATCAAAAAACTAATCTGTTTGTAGATTTTCATACTAAGAATCATCCCTGAAAATATGAAATTGATCTACCAAACGGTTCACCTGAAAACGGGTAGACAAGACTTTACAGACAAGATTTTAGGACAGAAAATCCAAAATGGCTGCCTTAACATTTACGCAGAATGCAAAAAAAGTAATCAGATGTAGATTTTCATACAAAGAATCATCCCTGAAAATTTGAAATTGATCTACCAAACCGTTCACCTAAAAACGCGTAGACAAGACTTTACAGGCAAGATTTTAAGACGGAAAATCCAAAATGGCTGCCTTGACATTTACCCAGAATGCAAAAAAACTAATGAGTTCTAGATTTTCATACTAAGAATCATTCCTGAAAATTTGAAATTGATCTACCAAACAGTTCACCTGAAAACGAGTAGACAAGACTTTACAGACAAGATTTTAGGACGGAAAATCCAAAATGGCTGCCTTGACATTTACCCAGAATGCCAAAAAACTAATGAGATATAGATTTTTATACTAAGAATCATCCCTGAAAATTTGAAATTGATCCACCAAACGGTTCACCTGAAAACGCGCAGACAAGACTTCACAGACAAGATTTTAGGACCGAAAAATCCAAAATGGCCGACAATAAAAAAGTCCTTATGAGTTTTTGCTGATTTCTTTTTACAAAATTATCACATATAACTACTGTTAACAATAAAGTAGGCTTTTACAGCAAAGTACATCTGAAATTATTTATAAAGCTACTAAATAGTTAAAGTATGAAAACTCAAAAACACCATTGAATATGATACAAAGTATTATCGCGCGCTAACTTTTCTTAAGACATTCAAAATGGCTGACATGACTGAGCTAGCAGGTCCAAAACCTAATCAGATCTAGAATGAAGTGAGCTGAACAAGATGTTAAAGTTTTAAATGCAACTGTGAAGCAGTTTTTCTTAAAGTTTGCAGACAAGGATTTTAGCATTTGACTTCAAAATGGCCGACAGGAAGTAGGTTTCGAGTTAAATTTTTTTCATCCACATCTATAGGCACTCATAAGTTATTCCTGAAAATTAGAAGGTGATACCTGTAGCGGTTTTGGAGAAAACTGCCGGACGTACGGACGGACGGACAGACAGACAACCAGACAGACAGACAGACGGACGGACGCGCCTAGGACGACAATATGGCCCCACACTATGTGGTGGGGACATAAAAACTACTTACAAGACAAACTGTAAACAATTTTGCGCCTAAAATGGCCTACTGAAAAAGTTTACTGCTGCAATATGCCTCCAAGCTGATGATAATATTGTAACCATTTACAATATCAAAAAAGTCTACCCAAATTATATGATCAATAACAAAACCTCATTTTGTGACAATTATTTTGCAAAATAAAAACTGTGATGTTCCAATTTATCTAGCAAGGATGGTCCTGTTTTACTTGTTTCTTAATATTACATCTACTCAGGAAATTAAAGTTTCAAGTGAAATATACTTAGATCACCATGAAAGCATTCATCTTTTCATTGTTTCTAAAATATATTGTAAGTGTCAGAGAAAATAAATGATTTTTTCTGAACACGAACCATGAAATTAGAATTGTGGCCTTTAAATTGAGAGAATAATTGTCTAATGAATATAATATGCATTCCTAGTCCCTTTATGTCCTATAAACACATTACCAAGTAAATTGTCCATTGCAATTGTCAGAGGAAATTCTCCAGCCTTTCTCTGTTATTCTTATAGCATGGCAGTGGTCAGAATATTTATAGTTTCAGTAGGAATTGAATTTGATAAAATACTCTTTCTTCCAGTTTAGAGCATTCAGCTAGGATAAACTTATACTCCTCGATGAATCATTTATGACTGATGCCTCTCATAAACAATTTTGAATGAGTTCAACCCTATGCTATTTCCTTATACATGTAGATCTATTACTATGGTCAGCATTGTCATTACAAGTTTCAAAAGTGACTCAAACAAACAACTAGCCTTGATAATAGATTGATTCTGCTTGTTCAAAAGAGCTTAATCCAACGTTTTTGCCTAGGAAATAGTATTTTGACCCAATCTTAACCAATCAGAATACTGAGAATACAGTGGACAAAAATTCATTTGCCCAATCAAAATACCGATCACTGAATTTTTTGTTTTCGTCATACAGATGTATTTATTAATATTCATTTCAAAATAGGAAATAAAAGCCATGACTGCTACATTTAGGGTCATTAATCCCTTATAAAAAATTCAACCTTGAAAGTCCGAATTTAAACCGTTGCACAATCATTGTACAATCATTGATCCGATCATTTATGCAACCATGCCAACTGTTACGATGCAACCATTACAATTTTGGTTGTAAACTCATTGAAAACGTTTCAAGCATATGTAACCATTGTAAACGCTTGACAATTTTGGTTGCATTTCTTGCAACCATTTCAATCGAATGCAAGTTATGCAACCCTTTAAAACTATGGCAATATTATCTCAATACAACATAAAATAATTATCTTGCTCTTTAAAAAATATATTTCAAATGTATCAAAAAGATATTTAAAGTATTGAAAAAGTTAAGTAAACTTGTCTTGTGAATGAAAATATATTGAACCAATTTTCATCTAACTTTGAAGGATGGTGATTGTCCAACTCACATGTATATTATCTAGATAACAGCAATGCTAAGGCATAGCAAATCCCCTCGCTGTC